GTAGTGTCATTAACTAACTGATTAACTAATGTTCTTGTTAATTATAATTAATTGTAATCGTTTTAAATTAGGATGGAAGGGTTTTGTGTTCGTCAACACCAATTTATGGAAAAGGAAAAAAAGCGGGAAATGAGGCTGGTTATATCATTGGAATGACCACTTGTTACCCTCGGCCGGGCTCAGTCAAGATAAAAGATGGGGAGACACTGACTGTAGTTTCTAATTACGAGAGCGCTCAGATGCACAGCGGAGTTATGGGTCTTTTCTACATTTTGGTTGCAGAAACACTCTGAGTAAAATAAGCTACTATTATCACATAAAAGAAACATTTGTAAGATCATATTCATCTGTTTGGTGAATGTGTGATGAAGTTATAAAGCTTCAATCAACTTAATAAATTTGAAGATTTGCATAAATATTCAGGTGCTTGTTCACGAAATGATCGTCACTATATGTAAAGTTGAAAGCAAGATATCAGTCAGGCACCATCTCGTTTGAATAAAAATTTGATGTCGTTACCAAAATATTCATCCTGTTTTCACTCGGTTTTTATATTGTAGTGAAGCAAAACGTTTTCAATTCTGTTCATATATTTTTTGTAATCATATGATATTCTCGTTTGTAGATTAGGTGGTTGGGTATTTCTTTTTGGAAAATACCTAGAAATAGGATAGTTTTTTAATTTTGTGACAGAAATAAGACATTTCAAATGTGCACAAGTTATGCACAACAATCAGACAGAAATAAGATTTTTCCTACACCTTGAAATGACCAAATTGTCCTCCCATATAAATAGGTTATCCAAAAATTCCAGCTTTCATTTCTCATTTTGTAGAGAGAGAAACAGAGGGGAGAGAGAGAAAATCCCTCTCCCCAAATTCTATTTCAAAGAACCCTAACCCACCCATCTTGATCCAAGAGCTCTCTCTAATCCACCCAACTTCTTCATCCAAGCTCTCTCTCTCCTCTCTCTATATTTCGAATATGCACAAGAGCTCTCTCTCTCACCCACCCATCTTCTTCGATTTTTACCTTTTCATTCATAGGTTTTGTGAACTGGGTTTGCTTAATTTTGCTTTTTGATTGATGGATTTTTGGAGTTAAAGTGATTGGTTTGGTGTTTCTTGGAGGAGACCCAAATCCTTCATTTTTTTATTTTTTATTTTTTATCATTTCTTTAATTTATATGTAGGTTTTCATTTATTCTGTCTACTCCCTCTCTCTACTCCCTTTCTCAATCCATATTTACAAGCACTAAAATAGGGTTTAGCTTTTGCTGCAATTAAATGGAAAAACGTATTAAAGGTCAGTTGCCTTTTGGAGAAGAGATAAATTTGGTGGAAAAGAGGGAAATCAAACTGGAAAGAAGGAAGAAAGAAGGATATGGACGAAATTGTTTTGCATGCTCGTTCGCTCTCTTCGTATTAAGTTCACTCATACTGTAACGACCCATCCCCAATTATTACGATTTTTATGATTTTTAAATGTGAATTTTACGAAAATGCCTTTCGAGGCAAAGACGTTGATTCTTGTTGACTACCTTGTCATTTCACGACAGACTCATTTTCTTGGCATATCCTCATAGTACTCGTCGCAACGAACACATGGGCGCAAACGAAATGCAATTTGGAGTTATAACGAAAGAGATATTAATGTTCAAAACTAGGGATTTTTTTGTAATTTTGACCTTGCTAGAAGATTCCAGATTTTCTGGAGCCATCAGATAGAGCCACGTGTGTGGTTGGGATCAAGGATGAAGAGAAGGGAGAGATATGTACGGTTGGGATAAAAAGAAAAGGAGAGAAAGGAAGAAAGAGGAGGAAAAGTCAGCCAATAAGGAGAGGGGAGAGGATAAGAGTGGATGAAGAGGAAAGGGAAGGAAGAAGGGGGAGGGGAGGAGAGAAAAGAGAGTCGCGGGATCACGGGTCCCTACCTAGTTTGTGCAACCCGACCCAACAGGACTTGCAAACCCGATGCCATTCATGGTGTTTCATGGCAAATTAAGGTAAATCACCACCTAGAAACAACTCCCTAGCCTTCCCCCTTCCATTTCCACCCAAAATTAGGAGGAATTTGGTGCTATTTTTGGGGAAAAACTGACGGTGGAGCTTATGGGTGTACGACGGTGATCCGCAAATCGTGAAGCTAAATCAACTCATTTCCACCATCATTAGATTTCCCTTGAGGCTTAGAACAAAGCTTAATTAGTTGTAAGGGTAGCGGAGCATTGGAGATGACGAATCAAGAAGCACCTTTTAAAGGGTTTCCAACGGGTTTTAGTGGAATTGGGGCTTTTCCCGGCCGCATTGGCCTTAGTCACAGGTATGAAAGTTGCTCTACTCACTGAGATCTTCATTTCTGTGAAGTTTGAGAATTTTTAGATATCCATATGATGTGAATTTGAGTATTGTGAATCTAGTTTGATTAAGGTGCGTTACTTGATAATTATATGAATCGATGATCCGACTATTGGATCGTCACCAAACTTTGATACATTATAACACGTAATATTTGAGGATATTAGAAACTTACGGATCAAAAATATGACGTGCGGATCTACCCAATTAGGACATGTAAGTTATATGTTCTAGGCGGCAATCATTCGTGGCGCCTTGATATTTGTGACAGGGAGTTGTAGTGCAGACTCCAGGTGAGTGGGCTTTTCCGTTTTCTATATATACGTATATATGTTTCCCATTTTCCCTAGAAATGGTTTTAAGTGGAATTTCGTTTAAAATGCCATGTCATGGTTGCTTTACATTTTAGCCTATGCATTAGTATAGCCTTGCATAATGTTGCATGATGCTGCGGAGCCCAGGTAAGCTACAGGTGAGTACATTATGATGTATATGGATATGCCTGGATGCACTTGGTATTCATTATCCTGCATCTTGGTGTTAGTGCTCCGCCCGAGGTCAGGGCCTAGCCTTCACATGATCGTTCACCTCCCGCACCATATGCTCACCTTGGATCCAAGGCAGGTACCAGCCTGTTGTACAAACCATATTAGGTGGTTCCGACTCGTAGGTGACTTGCGATACTTCGCATAGCCTTCACGTGATCATAGCACTTGAGCGTATTTATTTACACCCAGCCTGTCATACAGGCCACATTAGGTGGTTCCGACTCGTGTGCAAGTTTAGAGCCGTACAGGTCACGTTAGGTAACTCCGGCTGGCATATCATTTTACATTGATTTATTTCACCTGACTTACTTATTTCATTGCTGAGATACTTGGCATGGCATATACTTGGTTTTCACTACTCTCGAGCATGATTTCTATATACGTATGTATTATTATTTTTTGGGAAATTATACAGGTTTTACGGCGAGGGATTATAATGTTTTCAAAAGGTTTTTATTAAAAACTTTATTTTCAAGCTCACTCACCTTTGTTTTTGCGCCCCTTTAGGTTTTAGCTGTTGGATGTTCGTATTGACAAGGATTTGTGGCGAATCTCAGTATAAGTGGCTACCTCTGACGGTATGATCCTTACCCACATTACTGTACTTTACTTATGCTCTGACGTTGAGTGTGAAACGGGCTCGTTCCCGCTTGCAGTGCAATCTGGTCCTTAGGCACTTTTAGGGTTAAATTTATTCACATTTTCCACATCATTATACTTTATGGCTTCGTCACCTTCTAGGTGTCGGCCAGCACAACTCGATTTGGAGTCCTAGTGGACATTCTGGGTTGGGGTGTGTCAGTTTGGTATCAGAGCATAAGTTAGGCAGTATTGCGTTCATTACACGTGTTATGTAGGCATTCTTGGTTTTTGAACCTAACTTCCGAATTTTGCCGCCTTGTCGAATACGAAAAATGTGTTAGCTTTTCCTAAGTTTTGGGTAGTTTTGCCGACTTGTCGACATTTTAGAAGAGCACTTTGGCGAATGTCCTTAGACTTAAAGAAAAGGAACTCCCTGCCAAGGAAAGATGTAGATTTGAGGTAAGTTGATGGTCTAAAGCAGGGTTAATGTATCGGTAACTGTGCATCATCGAAGGCTTTACCAACCAATTTTATCCTTATCCTCCAGCCATCAGTATCAAACCTTTCGAGATTGCAAATCCGAAATAGTTTTGATTCCTTGGCAGTATCCGTTAGAATACCACCTGTTAAAATTCCTGCAAAGTCTACTTTTTTCGAGACTCTAGAAATGTGTCATGTGACGATGGTGCTAAAAAGGTAGCCCTTGACGAAATAACATCTTAGGAAAATCACTTTTGGCCTTGATAGCTCTAATACTTTTGTGATGTTACTTTTCAATCATCAAGAAACCTTGTTAGCTCATTCTTAAATTTTACCCCTCTACTTTTGGCCTGAGACAACCACAGAATTGTTTAGTATTTCGGCATAATTCATCATTTTGAAAGATTGCTCAGAGTTAGAGAAAATAAAAATCAACGATAATACTTTATATAAAAACTGGGAAATAATGATGATGAGATTATATGGCAAAAAAACTTATTATTACCTTATTTTCATTATCCAAAACAGGATTAAAAGCTCCAGAAGCTCGGACTAATCCACGCAATCCCCCTGGAAGACTAATTACGAGGTCCTTTTCATTCACCTCAGAGACAACTCCCCTGACCTTCATTCCAGTAGATATATTTTGACCAGACATAAAGGAATAGTACATCAACAATTTTTAACCCAAAATAATACTGAAAATTCCATATGATGCATCGAGCTAAAAAAAATCTACAATATACTTTATGGGTAATGCTAGGGAGATAAAATTTGCAAACTAAATGATGTGTCACCAATAGAAATGAACACGCTTATTAACGCTTAAGTAATAAACCAATCATCAATTTTCATGCCCTTTAGTTTTCAAAATTTAGTCTCCCTAGTATTACTCATACTTTATATATATTTTAGTATCTAATGCAATATACTTCATTTACGATTACAAAAAAGTTTCACTTCACCAGAGCCTAATAACATCATTTATTTTATTTGAAAATCTAATACATACATATATTATATATATACACACATTTGATGATACGAAAATTTAATGAAAAATTAAGGTAGATCCTTCGTTCTTCCAAAAATTACAGTACTTTATGTTTTCATCTGGATACCTTCGTAGTGATCATGTTTGCACATTTAGGTAGCTTTCCAAAGATGCCATCACCGAAAAGCGACCCCAAATCGTCCTCCGTCACGACGCTTTTCTTCTGCATCCATTTCTTCTTCCTCTTCTTCAGCTCTCGCTCCCCTGCCTTGAATTCTGCATCAACTTCAGCCCGAATTTCATCCTGCTCTTGTCGATTCAAAGAACTTCCTCCCCCTTTAATCAAAAACAAAATTTTGCAAACCATTTAATTGCCAATGTCTTTCGAATATAAAAACACAAAATTGAAAAAAACAACTGTTGAAGTTCAAACCTCTGGGGAAGTCGGGGACCTCGTCTTCGAGCTGCAAAGCGACGGTGTTGAAGATAATTCCAAGAAATAAGCTGAGGAATATTGTAAATTGGTTGACATTAGTTTCCTTCCTTTTATGTATGTATAACAGACGCAATTATAGGAGATAGTCTAGGATCCTTATCCTATATAAAGATGTAATACTAGCATTGAGTTGATATAGAGATTTTATTTTTCACCAAATATTCTTCCTATATGGTACAAAAGCAAACGATCTTGGTAACCTAAAGAAACCCTAGCCGTCACCATGGGAGACGACAACGAAAACTCAAATAAGCTAGCTCAGTTGAGCATGGCATCAAAATTTGATAGTCTCAATCACCCACTGTATCTTCATCATTTAGATCAGCATGGGTTGGTACTTGTATCACAACTCCTGACCAAAGATAATTATAACACATGGAGTCACTCCATGACTATGGCCCTGACAGTAAAAAACAAATATGGTTTTGTTGATGGGTCGATCAAGAAACCAAGTGAAGAAGACATTGATGAATTGCAGCAATGGAGACGCTGCAACAGCCTGGTCAAAACTTGGTTAGTGAGTTCGATCTCCAAGGAGATTGCAGCTAGTGTGTTCTACTGTGATGGAGCACAAGCAATTTGGAACGAGTTGCGAGAACGCTTTTCTCAGGTAAACAATGTTCAACTTTTCCAAATTGAAAATGAAATTCATGATTGTGTTCAAGGCACCATGTCTGTTAGGTCTTATTTTACCAAACTCAAAGGCTTGTGGGATGAAAGGGACATTCTTTGTCCTATCTCAACTTGCAACTGTGGAGTTACGAATGAGGAATTGTCCTATCGAGAAACACAGAAAACTATCAAGTTGCTTATGGGATTGACTGAGTCCTTCGCTATGACGCGAGGACAAATATTAATGATGGACCCTCTGCCTAAGGTTAGCAAAGATTACTCTCTTGTTCTCAAACATGAATGTCAGCGTGATGTGTTCGCTGGAAAATGAGTGACTCAACCTGAGGCATCGGTGTTTGCAACCAGAGATACACAGAAAAACACCGAGAAGAAAAGTAACAACTCCAAGTGTGAAAAGTTCGACAAGATTGGCCATAACACAGAGAATTGCATATCACATTTGAAGTGCACTTATTGTGGGTGGAGAGGCCATAGTTGATTATTGTCGCAAACTCAAGAAGTTCGAATCCGATCAACCTAAGAGTAATTCTAAGGTTAACCGTGTTGCTGCACATCAACTTGAGAAGAAGGATCTCTCCAATTCTTTTCCATTCACACAAGAGCAATGCTAACAAATCCTGAACATGCTCAGCAAGAATAAAACTGCCATGGCGAATCATGTGGGTAATTCCTCAACATATGATGAACTCTCAGGTAAAGCCTTCTATTTTTCTACTAACGGAAGGAAAACTACGTGGATCCTAGACAGTGGTGCCACAGACCACATGGTTTGTAGTCCCGATTTACTTACTTCTTAGAAGCCTGTCAAAAATAGAACTATTGAACTTCCAGATGGTTCCATGGCTCATGTTATTCATATTGGACAAATCATATTTGCCTCTAGTTTGGTTCTTGAAAATGTTTTGTGTGTCCTAGTCCTTCAACTAAATCTTATTTCCATCAGTAAACTCACCTGTCAATCCCTTTGTATCACTGTTTTTCTTAATCAATTTTGTGTAATACAGGACCTACGTTCGAGGAAGATGATTAGGATGGGAACTGAATGGGAGGGGCTCTACTATCTTGATCAAACCAAGAAGGCATTTTGCAATTCTATCTGCTCACATTCTCCTAGCCTTTGGCATCAACGTCTTGGGCATCCATCCAACAAAGTGTCTTCTTTATTTTCCTTTTCACACAACAATAAATTTTGTGACGCAGACAAGTGTTTGGTTTGTCCATTGGCTAAACATACCAGATTACAATTTTCTTTAAGTGCCATTTCTAGCAATGCTCCTTTCGAATTCTTACATGTTGATATTTGGGGTGGCTATCACACTGCATCTCTTTCGGGGGCATGTTATTTTCTCACCATTGTTGATGATTTCACTAGATGCACTTGGGTGTATTTGATGTGCCATAAGTCTGATACTAGGGATCTTTTAGTTAAATTCATTAACATGGTTGAGACACAATTATCTTCCAAAGTTAAAATTGTGCGTAGTGACAATGGTCCTGAATTCAAGGTTGAGCCTTTCTATTCTCCCAAGGGCATCGTTCATCAAACTAGTTGTGTTAACACACCACAACAAAATGGCGTGGTTGAAAGAAAACATCGTCACTTGCTCAATGTTGCACGTGCCCTTCTTTTTCAAGCAAAGCTTCCTAAACAATTTTGGGGGGATGCCATCCTCACAGCAGCTTACCTCATAAATCGCACACCCACACCTTTCTTGAAATGTAAAACTCCTTACGAAGTTTTGTTTAAAGTCACACCAAAATACTCTCACTTAATCGTTTTTCGTTGTCTATGCTTTGCATCCACGCATGCTAAAAAACCATCCAAATTTGATACATGTGCAATTCGATGTATATTTCTTGGTTATCTTGATGGACAAAAGGGATATCGTGTGTATGAACTTGAATCAGGAAAACTATTTGTCTCCCGTGATGTCACATTTTTCGAAATTGAGTTCCCTTTTCACATCACTTCCATTGCCATTAACGATGACCCTACATTCCCTATGCTAACAACATTGCCATTCGATGACACTCCTACACCCTCCACTGGCATATCATCTTCATCCCCAGAAAAATCTGAGCCTACAATTTCAAATAATACTACTTCACCACCACTAGACACAGACACCTTGTCCACAAACCCATCAAATACCACAATTTCACAACCCCCTGTGCATCGTCATTCTAGCAGACCAACCAAGATGCTAAGGTTCTTGCATGACTTTCACGTAGAAGCCAACCTCCCGTCACAACCTGCACCTTCATCCATCTCTAACGTGGTCTCAAAATCAGGTACTTTGCATTCCATTTCTCAATTTCTCTCTTATGACCATTTGTCCCCACAACATAAAGCTTTCACCATCTCATTATCCCTTGTCAAAGAACCAACAAGTTTCATGCAGGCCATGCAAGATCCTAAGTGGCGTCAGGTTACGCATACTGAGATACAAGCTCTCCAAGCAAACAACACATGGACTCTCATGCCTCTCCCCACCGGCAAGAAGTTCATTGGTTGTAAATGGGTGTACAAACTGAAGCTAAAACCTGATGGCACCATAGAACGATACAAAGCTCGTTTAGTGGCCAAAGGATATAGTCAAATTGAGGGGCTTGATTACCGTGAGACATTTGCTCAAGTTGCCAAATTAGTTACCGTTTATGTGCTTCTTAGTGTTGTTGCTATTCAAAATTGGCATGTTCACCAACTGAATGTCAATAATGCGTTTTTGCATGGTGATCTTGACGAGGATGTGTACATGTCCCTACCTCCCGAATTTAGACGAAAGGGGGGAGACTCGAGTATACAAGCTTAACAAATCTTTGTACGGGTTGAAACAAGCCTCTAGACAATGGTTTTTGAAGCTCTCTACAGCCCTTAAAATAGCTGGTTTCAACCAATCAAAGGCGGATTATTCACTTTTCGTCCGATTCCACAAAGGTAGTTTCACTGCCATTCTTGTATATGTGGATGATGTAATTTTGGCAGGCAACAACATACAACACATTGAAGCAATCAAACAGTTTTTATCCAAGCAATTTAAGCTTAAGAATCTTGGTCAACTCAAGTATTTCTTAGGTATCGAGGTGGCTTGATCATCAAAGGGATTTTCAATATCTCAAAAGAAATATGCACTTGAGATACTTGAAGAATCTGGGTTTCTGGGAGCTCAACCAGCAAAGTTTCCGATGGATCAAAATCTGGCATTCACACAGACTAGTGGAGAGCTCTTGAGCAAACCATCAACATATAGGCGCCTTGTGGGAAGATGGATCTACCTAACGATTACTAGACCTGACTTAGTTTATCTTATTCATGTGCTCAGTCAATTTATGGACAAGCCACGAGTCCTACACCTTGAGGAAGGTTCTCAGGTACCTTAAATGAACATTGGGACAAGGCATTCTTCTGTCTGCCATAAGCACAATGCAGCTAAGAGCATTTTGTGACGCGAATTGGGCTCATTGCAAAGATACAAGACAATCGGTAACAGGTTATTGTATACTGCTTGGGCAATCACTTGTTTCTTGGAAGATGAAGAAGCAAACTATAGTAGCACGTTCAACGGCCGAAGCAGAGTATCGTTCCATGGCTACCACCTGTTGTGAAATTACGTGGTTGAAGAATGTTTTGAGAGACTTGAAAATTCAACATGATCAGCCTGTTACGTTGTTTTGTGACAACCAAGCAGCATTACACATCACTTCGAACCCAGTCTTTCATGAACGTACAAAGCACATTGAGATTGATTGTCATTTGGTACAAGAAAAAATCCATGAAGCCATGATACGAACAACTCATATTCGAACCACAAATCAAACTGCAGATTTGTTCACGAAAGCACTCAATTCACCACAGTTTGGAGCTTTACTTGCCAAGTTGGGTGTTATCAATATACACTCTAACTTGAGGGGGAGTGTTGAAGATAATTCCAAGAAATAAGCTGAGGAATATTGTAAATTGGTTGACATTAGTTTCCTTCCTTTTATGTATGTATAGCAGACGTAATTATAGGAGATAGTCTAGGATCCCCATCCTATATAAAGATGTAATACTAGCATTGAGTTGATATAGAGATTTTATTTTTCACCAAATATTCTTCCTATAGCTTCGGACTTGGCGTCGTCATTTTGGTCCTTATTTTGTTTGAACGGTTTTTTGGAGGACTTGTTGAACTTTGGAGCGTCTCCCGCCTTCTTCTTTGCCTGAGGTTTCTTGAATGGCGGTGCCAATTGTGGTCGAATGCAACGACTGATGAACGCGTATATTTATATATATATATATATATATTTTTTTTGTGTATATATATGGATCTCTGGTTCTTCTGGGATTGGGGTTTTAGAGGTTTAAGGAGAAGGTGGGAGACTGAAGGAAAGAGCTGACTGCAACTGGGCGAGGGTTCAGGGCCTATTGGTCTTTTTGTTAAACGAGGTCGTTTGGTGGAGTTTATAGGGAAGTGCTGCATACACCAAATTTGTGCACTAATCACATTTGGAATTTAGCTATAATACTTATAAATATTTAATACAATCTCCTTAGGGATTATGTTAAATACTCGTAACTATTGTAACCAATCAACTTTAATACAAATTGAAATTTGATTAATGTAATAAAAATTTGTATGATGTAGAATGTGCCTCATCATTTGATGCACAAATTTAGTATATTTAGGGGTTAGGGCTGGAAATTGATAAGTGTGTGTGAAAAGTAAAAATGAGTATGTGGAGCACTATCCAAAATTTATAGGACAAATGAAGACTCACAGAGGCATTTCAGTCTTCGTTGACCAGTGATTCACCAGTGCTAAAAATTGAATTTAAGATGTGTGGTGTGAAATATGGGACTGCAATTCATCCATAGTCACTAATTGCTTTTAGCAGATTGAGCATTTTTTTTCAAATTCACGTTCAAACAATCTTATTTTTCAACTTAACTTAGAGTATTAATCTTTACTAATTAATAAAACACTTATTGTCAACCAAAATCCTATGAAATTACCAGTTTAACCCTCTAATTAAAACAGAACATGAATAAGACATAGGGGCATAAATGTAATTTTACAAAACTAAATTTTACTGTTTTTTTTTCAAAGCCTCGTCTACATGTAATCCTAACATATCTCTAATTAAAATAAAAAAAAATAAAATAAATAAATAAAAAGAAAAACTTCTCACTCCCACATTCTCTATCACTCTCTTCCTCTCTCCTTCTATTTTAAAAACAGAAATAAAAAATTTTCTCACACACTTTGTGTGTGTTCATATCGGTCATCGGCGGTAATAAGTTAAGAACTAAAGAAAGAAGAAATTTAGTGGTTCAGGGCCCATTATCGGCGTTTTGCTCTGGGCCGCATATGAAGCAGCCATGAGGTGAGTGTTTATGGCCAGCCCACGAGCTTGATAACTCACGTGAAAATTTATGAACCATTAACAAAAAATAAAAAAAAGACTGGACCGTATATCCCATCCGTGAAATACATTATCAACGGTTGGATTTCTCCAAACCTCATTAAAACCCAATCCAAAGAAACACATATTAACATATCTCTCCTCAGCGGAACCTTCCCGAATGTTAGTATTTAAACCCACCCAACCTTCCATCTGATTCCCTAAGCTTCGATTGCGTTCCCAATCAATATACCGTGAGTTTCCTTCTCCTCTTCTTTAATCTAATTTTTAAAATTTTATTTAATTTATTCTATTTTTTCCGATCAATTACATAAATAATTATGTGCTGATCTTCAATTTTGGGTTTGTGATTTGTTACAGTGAAATTAGGGTTTTCGATTTCAATTTCGGTTTGTAATTCGTGGTGGGGATTATTGCAGGTGAAAGAAAATGAGGGGTAGGAGCTATAGTTACAGCCCTTCGCCGCCTAGGGGTTACGGCAGGCGACGCCGTAGCCCTAGCCCGAGAGGTCGCTATGGAGGTCGTGGTAGGGATCTTCCCACCAGTCTCTTGGTCCGCAATCTTCGCCATGACTGCAGGTATTTTGTATCTAATTCTTTTGTGTATTAATTTTGTATCTTGAAAAATATGGATTGGCGGAAAATAATTGTAAATGATTTAAAATTTATGGCTGATAGATTAAGATTGTGGATTTAGGTGTTTATTTTTTACGTTGTTAGAAGTTTTCATCATTTCCCAAAACATGTCCAAAGAACTTGTTTGGTATGAGATTCAAAATTGTTTTTGAATCCTAACAATAAAAAAAGAACAGAAAAAAAAAAAAAAAAAACCCTACATCACCCCGGTGGAGTCGGGAACTTCTAGGTTCAATCGGACAGACAGATGGATTCGAATAGAGGGGTCGGAGGATAGGAGAGCTGACAGATGAGAGACAGCATTGGAGGAGAGAGAAGAACTGAGGGGAGCACACAGAGAGGATAGAGATAGAGAGCTAGCAGAGAAGATCCGGAGTGAGAGGAGATTAGAGAGAAGTTCACTTTTGTGTTTTCAAGAAGTAGGCCAATTTTGAGTTAGTTATGGATCCAGTTTTTGAAAACAGTCCTACCAAACAAGTATTCAAATTTCAAGGTGTAAAACTTAAAAAGTGTTTTTGAGTTTAAAGAGTTGGATTCAAGTAGAGGACCAAACGGGCCCTTGTATTCTGTTGCTTTTGTGAAAAAAATTATATTATGTTTGTTGTTTGCAGGACTGAGGATTTACGCGGGCCATTTGGGCGATTTGGCCCCCTTAAGGACATATACTTGCCTAGGGATTATTATACTGGGTAAGATTGCTTTCTATCTATGCAAATTAAGGATTTTTGTTATTAAAGATTTGTAAGGAATGTTTGAGGTTATATTGTTCTTGATTTGAGCTAGAAAGGTCCACACGTGTGAATTTTGTCAGTTGTTTTGGTTTTGATCCTGAGTGTTTGTTGAAGTGCACTTGTTTTTTTTTTTTTTTTTTTTTTTTTTTTCAATTTATCTTCAACTGCTTTATTGGAATTTGGTTGTTGTATTGAAAGTGTTGAAGACACCCTTGAAGTAATAAGAGTACTGTGTTGAAGACAAGAATGAAGTAACAAAGAGTGTTTATTCAAGAGATCAATGAAGTAAGTAATTGTTGAAGATGGTTTTAGTATACACGAATGTTTTGAAGAAAGTTGGTCTTAGTGTACATGAAGATTTTGAAGAAAGTTGGGTTGAAAACATTGAGAAGAAGTTGAAGTGTTGAAGAATTTCGACTCAATTTTATCCTTGACTCCAACAAGGTTAGCAGCCATTGATGTTTGCACTTGAATTGTATAAAGTGTCTGGCAATTATTTGTGCTTATCATGCTGACTAGAGCTTCGACCATGTTTGAATTTTCCAGAATACAAGATGTAGTTTCGGTAACATCAGTATAGTTAATGCTATTATATGGGTTTCTTTCTTGTGTAGTTTATTTTCTTGTTATACTTAATGCTATTATATGGCGCAGGGAGCCACGTGGCTTTGGATTTGTTCAGTTTGTAGACCCTGCTGATGCCGCTGATGCTAAATACCATATGGATGGTCAAATTCTCCTCGGACGGGAATTGACGGTTGTATTTGCTGAGGAGAACAGAAAGAAACCCTCGGAAATGAGGGCAAGAGATCGTGTTAGGTGAGATACCTATTAAACATTACACGGTAGTGTTCTTATTTCAAATTAGTTTTAGTTTAGTATAGGTTGACTACTATGACAATGATGTGTATACTTCATTGCATCTGAATGACTCAGTTTTGTTTGCAATTTTAAATAGTTGATTTCCCATCTAATTAGTTTATGCTTGTCGAACGTCTTGTACCCCACCCATTTATTTCAAATTAGTTTTGGTATGGTTTTGACTACAATTACAATGGTGTGCATTATATCTTGTTTGTTTTTTTGTTTTTAGGGGTCGGTCATATGATAACAGGCGATCCCGCTCTCGCTATTCACGATCACCGTGCTATGCTCGAACATATTCTCGAAGTCCTGATTATTATTCACCTTCCCACAGGCCAAGGCGATACTCTAGGTATGGTGCTGACTTTAATATAATATATATATATGTATTTGAATCCTTCTTTCCTTTATGCAGGACAGACAGAACAATCAGTAAGAGGTAACCGTTTTGGTATTTTGATGCGGATGCAGGTCAATTTCACCTAGAGATAGAAGGTACCAGGACGAATCACGCTCAAGGTCTCCCTATGGTTCAAGAAGCCGTAGCCGCAGTCGAAGCCTGGACTACTCTCAGTAGAGCGGAAGATAATAGAGGTATGCCTAATCAGGAGCTAGAGATCTATCTATGTTAGAAGTTGGGATATTAATAAATGGTAATTAGCGATGGTAACCATGGATTTCACATCGACATTAAAAGAAGGGGCTGCCTTGGTATCCTACTCTAGGTTTCTTTGTTCCGTCATTTGGCTGAATGCCCGTTGTAACATGATGAACTCATTTTCGAAACTAGCTGTTGTGTTGAAATGATTTGGTTTTGTGTAATAGAGCTTTTAGTAACCATATCAAAGTTGGTCTTAGTTTACCATTTAAGTTACTAAACGTATTTATCCCTGCGTCGGATTCCGAGCCATCAAGTTGAAATTCAGCCTCTCCCAAAGTGCTTGTACCACAAAGAAGAAAGAGATCACTCCGTAGATTGGGATTTCTCTTTTGGACTTGCTAACAGCATCGGTGCATGACATTTACAAGTGAAGAAGAATATCATTAGACCGAGATACTGAGTGTCACAACCATCTGTATTTGAAATGTGCTCTCTCAATTTACACACTGAAGAGTGGAGATCACATAAGCCGTCATGATTGCCGTGTATCTATGAGTTAAAATCACCGATAAATTTTTTATCAAGGTCTATCTTAGGACACCCTATTCTCCATTTTTAACTCACGATGGAAGTGTAGTAGGAGAGAGTCTTCTTTTTCACTTTTTCGCCGTCATTGGAGGAGAGAGATCTTTAAATTCACACCGTTGCCAAAAAAAGTGATTGAAATTACGTCGCGAAGCTTGTAAAGTAACTCAGCCCATCTTCACTCATTACCTTTGGCGATATTTTATCCTTTTAAAATTTAATAATTAAAAAATATAGTGTAGACTTAGATCTTTTCACCTCCGTTCGGCATCCACATGTTAAGGCTCTTGATATGCTAAACTTAGCTCTAATTCTTCTCAATATGTCCATTTTGGCGATTATTAAAAGACAAATTTACACAAATTCAGACTAAAAATAGCCAAAGGTTGTAGATGGCCTAAACTCGTCGCTCACTCTTCACTCAAAATCATGTTTGTTCATTGTCTACCCATCTAATGATCGCGTGTGTTATTGTATATGCGAATGCGAGGATAGCTACATTGGCTAGAGCTGATATGCTCGGCCATTGAACGCGAATTTGAATTCTTTGAAAAAGTGAACGGATAGTGTAAACAAAATTTTAGCGCAAATGAGATTTTATAAAATTAAACAGAAGACCACAACACGTATGATATTTTTACAATTTAGTTACAAAAAGCAAAAGCTGCTTACAACTTCACTCGTACATTACATTCACACTCAAATTTCTTTTTCCAAGAAAAAAAAAAAGAAAAAGAAAATTCAAACCTCCACGCGGCACCCGGACTGCACGAACCCAGAGAAATCTTCAGGCGTTTCCATTTTCTTCAATTTACCATTCTGCCCTTCCACCAAAAAGACCCCCTGCGACGCTCCCTGGTAAGCCGACCCCGCCAAAAAGGACCATTTCCCCAACTCGAGCGCGCAAGGCCCGACCCGGACTCTCGGATCGCAGTCACCCCAACAGAAGAACTTCCCGTCTTTCCCAACCCCGACGCACGACCTCGGGCACTGACCCGCCCGCCACACGTCCTCCTCCAGCCTCCACCGACCCGACCCGGTTTCATAGATCTCCGCACTCCCCACGAACCTCCCTTGCATGTCCGTCGCGTACCCGCTGACGACCCAAAACTCCGTCCCGTATACGAACCCCTCGCACTCGTCTCGGCCCTGACTCATCTCGGTCAGCTCGCTCCATTCGTTCTCCCTCACATCGTAAACCCTCGCCGATTTCATCGCGTTCTTGTTCTCGTCGTGGCCGCCGGCGATGTATATCCGCCCGTTTAGCTCGCAGGCGGCGAAGAACGACCGGGTCTCGGGCATGTCCTTCCCCCGAGTCCACCGCTGAGTCGTGAACTCGTACACGAACACGTCCCGAATCGGCTGGTAATTCGACGGGTCCCACCCGCCCATCACCACCAGCTTCCCCTCCGAGCCTGTCACCTGACAGAACATCGGAAGCCCGTGCGGGTACATCGGAACCGGGTCGATCCGGTCCCAATTCCCACTCACAGAGTCAAAAATGGAGACCCCATAACCAGGCGGTTTAGCCGGTTTGGCCTCGTACGATCCGGTCTGAACCGGAAGAGCCTGGACCAGGCAAGCCGCCTTGTGGGTCCGCCCGGATTGCTTCCTGTGGTTATGAAATTCCCGACTTTGGACAAGGTGCTGCCATCGGCGGCAGACTCGGGAGGCGACTCGGTGAGTGGAATAGTGCAGACGGGTCAGGCACTCGTATCCGAGTTCTTCCGGCAGACCGGGAATTAACTCGGTTAGTAACTCGGCCGTTTGCATTTGGCAAATTGACAAATTTTGGATGATCAAATTGGACTTATAAAGTTTGTGTGTAGAAGAATTTGGACGCGATCGGATAGGATAATGGTCGGGGTGGGGATTCAGTTGGGTATTTATATGCAAACACCACACTCATAAATGGAGTTCTGGGGGCGGAGTCACAACTATTAGCCGGTGGCATATTATTTAATTTGTAAATTTTGTCAACAAATTTAATCTTACTAATGTTATCCTTTATAATTACTGCTCTTTTGAGTATTACTTAGGTATTGATTGGTGACTACCATATATACTCACTTTTTGATTGGCCTTGTCAAAAGATGACTTGTGTTTATTGTTTCTAAAAATCGGCGAAAAATTAAATAAAATATACACTACTTTTTTTTTAACAATAAAAATATGTGTTAAAATATTATTAGGCTAAATGTTAAAGGTGAGTACATAAATTACTCAATTGTGAATGCCTAAGGATTGAGAGTATGCTATCAACATACCACATTTTACTTCTCACACACCTCTTGATAATTTATATCCGTTGATCTTCTTCAATTCATCCGATCTAACGGCCAAAAATTAAAAAAGTGTGTAAGAAGTAAAATAAGATGTGTAGATATCACACCCAAGTATTATGCCACTCTTTTTGGTATGAATTTTTACAAATCTTGAATAAAAAAAATACAATATTCTTAATATAGAAGTGTGGGAAATAAATAGGCAATAAAAAATATTTTGATATCAACTGATGTAACACGCAAATAATTGTACATAGTGCTTGACCGCGCGGACTGATGGCTTGATCTAGTCAAAGAACTAGATCAAGAGTTGGAACAAACAGTGTTCTAGTACCACAACAGCATAACGCAAACTAACGGAAAGGAAAGATGATTTAATTTATACTAGTTATAAATAAATAAATTCCCTATCAACTCACAATTCACGAACACAAAATACATAATTGGAATATAATCACAAACCAAATCAAAATACATACTTGGAATTATCACACTAAAATATCTTTTTTTTTCAATGAAAAAAAATATGTAATAAAGTACAGTAACATCAAAATTTCAAAGTGAAACTCAAATGTAGATATCAAAAACTCCAATCTTTTGAATTAACTAATGTTTATCAAAAAGGGTTAAAAAATTAGAGAGTTTTAACGAAACACTATCGGTACTGTTTACTTTAATAAAAAAAGACATTTTTACCTTTCTTGATATTATTCACTTACACCTTTATTTGTAGTTTTTTTATTAAAACAAAAGATTTTATGGACTTTTCGTTAGTATTTGTGGAGCCAAAAATAATAAAAAAGAATATGGAGGTGACACGTGGATTTTAGGGTAAAAAGGACAAAACTACCCTCGAGGAACACCGAAACTCTTACGCGCGAGCAATGGATAACCTTCCCTTAATCAAATCAAAAGTGCCCAAAATAGGTATTTATTTAAATCCTATTTCATTCATCCTCATCAAATATTCTCCACAAGGTAACCCCCAAATCTTTCCTTTCAAATTATATTAATTAGCTAATTAATTGATTTATTATTCAATTAATTTATTAATTAGCTACAAACTATGAATATCACCCAAAAAACCATCCAAGTGGCCGGTCCATCTCTACCCAAAGGGGCCGGCCACACCTCTATATAAACACCCTCATTTTCTCCAAAACCTAAGTTCTACACTCTTACTAAATTCTCTAAACACTTTTTCCTCAAAATTCTAACTTTGGCAACGGAGGTTCTTCGGCCAAAGCTCCCCCCCCTCACCCCATTCATCATGAGCGCATGAAGCTCTTAGCCTTGACCAAATGTGTTATTTGTTTTGTAAGTGCAATTTTGTCCAAGAACAAGGAGGAAGAAATTTGCATCCACAGTATTATTAAAAAATTAAAGATAAGGAGGTACGTTCAGAAGAGGTTATGACTGGTTGTTTTAAAAGAGGGACATCCTGCCAATAAGGATAAGGAGGTTGACTACTAAGGGTGGGCAAACGGGCCCTGGACCCATGAGTAGGGGCGGGTACTAGCTGTTCTAGGCGGACTCGGGGCGGGTTGGTTCCACGTAAACAGCAGGGCTGGACACGTTCAAGTTTCTAAAGACATGGGCCCTCGCCCCGGACCATATCCATTGAACTGTATGCTGAAATCTCACGCAAACACACGGGTCTCACCAAGCCTAACCTAACCTCAATCAGTTTACTTTCTCAAAGACTTCCAAACTCAAACTGAATCTTCTCTCATCAGTCTTCCCCCTCATATCTCAATCTCTTCCCTCTTGATCTCTCTCTCCCAGAGTCTAAACTAACTCTCATCCCTTTTGATTCTTAATATGTCTCTCTGTCGAACTCGAAGGAACGAACGACGAAGTCAGTCTCTCTTTGTGTCGAACTCGAAGGGATGAACGATGAAGTCAAACAACGAATCAATCATCTTCTCTGTCTGAGAAGACGAAGATTGCGAGGGGCCGTCCTTTTTTATTTCTTCGATTTTGAATCGTTGTCCAAGAAGAAGAAGATTTAAACCTTCAATCTGGCCCCAAAATTAACTTCGATATTCATTGTCCAATATGGGAATACCCATATCCAGATTAAGCTTATCCTTGCTATTCTTTCACCTATTCATCCTTGTTCAGTTCTCCCTCAAAATCTCAGCCATCAAGTATTTTTAATTTTTTATATTGTCTATTTGATTGCTGAGAAAAACAGAGGAAATTTTTCCAGGTCCCATCACCGTCGCCCAACGAAACTATGGTGCTTCACCAGACTGATATTTAAGAGTACTTAAGGATGGATGATGAGCTTTGAATAATTAAACGGGTTTTGAGTGGTTGTGACATATGTGTTGGTGTCTAATCGAAGATTTATCCGGGTCATGTAA